CTGAATCCCAGTTCCGATTGCACTGGAGCTCACATTGAGCTGATGCGGGAGCCCGAATGGCCCTAGACAGTGTCCAGGCTCGAAAAGGATGAACAGTGGCCAAGCGATGAGCCAGCTCCTTCGACAGGGCCTTTAAGAGGAGGCAACCCCAGCTCCAACCCACGTGTTATCTGGAAGGAATTATGAAGGCCGAAGGTCGCTGAGGGGGTTCTTGTGTGACAATCTTCACAAGTTCCAGGGAGCTGGAATGGGCTTCTAGAATCTAATGAAACATGGGATCGCCTGAGGGAGTAATACTGCAATAGGGATGTTTTCTGATCAGAGGGGACTTGTGACGAGTCCCAATTTACCCTTTTCCCTATCGACAGGTTTCTAAAGCATTGATGGCATTATTTTAACTTTTAGTTGAGAAGTCGGGCATGAGAAGCGTCCACTTAGGGCTACTTCGTTGTTCTGTCGTCATCGATGGGCATACGCAGTCCCGAACACCCTGCGAATGAGTCCTACCTCCTGCCTAAGCTCCTGAGCTACCCGGGGACTTAGGTCAGGTACTCGAACACATGTCTCAAAGAGGTGCTCGAAGCGGCAGCTACAGATAGATGGTATCAAAGAAACTGGCGTAGAGCTTAATACGGGTTTGAGTAAATAATGCCTTGGCCTTCCCCGATCCAGTCGGGATAGGTAGCCTTGATGTGACCAGCTCTTGTCCAACCCAGGACGCACAAGGAGAGCCAGACTACCACCAGACACAATTACAAGGCACGACAACAACGACAACAACCATCACGGGACGGATCCAAAGGTGCAGGTTCTCATAATGTGGCTGACTGGTTACCTCACCTAGCTCTCCACTCGGCCTCCTCTCATCAATCACCTCACCTTCAGGTTGACAACGCAACAGCATCGCACCATTACCGCCGACCCTGTCTGTCGGGACTGTTGTCTGGTGTCCCCGAGTGTGGTGCTGCTGCTTGCCTTGATCCATTGCTCTCTTCTCCTCAGATCTACTACTACCTACCACATCTGCCTACCTACTTAGGTACCAAGGCAGCTACCTACTCTACATACCTATCTAACCTACTATACAGGCTGTCTTCATCAGCTTCCCCGACTACCTGAATTATCTACATTATCAAAACATTAAACAAATTCTGTGCTTAATAGGTAGATACCTGGAGCGAGTTGCTTATTTGTCTGCCGTTCCCCAATCCAGGCTCCAACTCCGTGCATTACCTCCCGTGGACAAACTCCCTCATTTGCCCATGCTGGGGACATGATCAAGACCTGCAGGTTTCGTTAGTTTAGGTATCTATCTATCTACCTCTTACCAGCAATCCTAGACATTCCACCTCCTAAGTAAGCCCGATCGTCGCTTGCGAACGAGGCCTTCCCCAATTCGCCGCGCGCAGACCTGGCCATCTGGGTCATCGGAGCTTTCACCCACTACATTACTGTGCATCACCTCTTCCACCAAGGTACCCCCCAGCCCTGTCAGCGGGCGAAAGCGACGAGGGTTGCTCCTCTCCACCTCTCCACCTTCAGCGCACCCTGCCAGCCTCTCACGCCTCTGCCACATTCTGTCCGGCCTTGCAGTCACTTAGCTGACAGCCGTTCTAATAACAACTATCTACGAACTTCGAAGCCAACCGCGCTGCCACCGAGCTTGTCCTGTTTATCTTGTGCTTGCGTCAAAGTGGGCAGCCGTATGCGAGGAGTTCATGTAGAGCAAACCATCCCTCCACGAACCATTTCGATATTACATCAGCCACCCGCGTCGTTGCAGTCAACCGTCGACCGTCTGCCGTCAACGCTAAATCGATTTCTGGAGCCTTGAAAGCTGACCAGCACCTCAGCTCAGCACCTCGCAACACCTGCACACAGATCACGCACATCGATCCTGTCTCTGCGTGTCCGCTGCCTTCACCATCATCCGCATTCGCATTTTTGACCGATTGGCTGCAACAACTTGGCTAACTCTGCTCCACACACTGCGATATTGCCGCTTCCCTCGGTACGCGACAGCAGTTAACCATAGTTAACGCCACCCATAGTAGAGTGCGACTCGATCAACAACAGCGCTGCTCGGCTTGACATGTAATGATCTCGAAATCACCAACAACATTGTCCGACGATTGCATCTTGCCACAAGGCGCCGGCGCTTGGCCGTCGACCAGGAATAGATGCCGCCGCCATAGCGCTGTTGTCGCTGCTGCTCAACAAATACCCCCGCCTTTGCCACTTCACGACGGTGCTGCGCGAGCTTCGAAATGACAGATCGGGTAGCTGCCTTCGTCCGGGTTTCGGGCCCGCCAAATAGCAGTTTTCTTGTCGGCTATCCTGGCATATCGGCGACGCTTGTGAGTGCTTCATTCCGAGTTTGTCTTCTATTTAAATGGTATCCTGTCTGCGGTGCGCATCCCCACGCGTACCTCTCCTGGCAACACAACCCGCCATTTCATGTGGGGTGTGGTGCCCACGCCTCAGAGCCTCACGATGCAAAATACCCCAATTGCAACCCCAGCGAAATGCCAAATTGCTCGTTGACTGACACTGCATCTAGCCGCGCATAGAAGGCAAAGTCGAGATCCGGCCACAACAAGGATATTCCGCCCCCGTCGCCATTTCCCTGGTTCGAATATGCCTGCAGCGAAGAGAAACAATCCACCCAGCCGCCGAGAACATGGCCAAGCGCCACCTAGGCACACCGAGACGCGAAACCACAGATGTCGTCGGCAAAGAGCTGTTGCTATATCGTTGCGCCTCGGGCAGAGAAGCCGAAAATGTCATGGCCATGGACTTTCCATTTGTGCTGTTCATTCCGTTTGGACGAGGAGGTGAAGAAACAAATAGGAGGATACCTCCAGCCTCACTACAGCTTCCTAGTAGGACAGCAGAGACCTACTACGAGCTGGTTGTAACGGTTCAACAAGGGCAAAGCGTGCAGAACAAATATGCCTTTCCAGTACCCTTACAAAGATACGACACTCTATCGACATTTGGAATGTACAACAGACCCGAGACGAAGATCGCGACCGCCGATAACATAGTAACCCTGGGTATCTCGTTGCCGCGATGGAGTTATGGACCTATGGACCCGATTACAGTTTATATCAAATTGGCACCGAACCTGGACTGGATGGCCAAGGCGAGGAAGGTTACGATACAAAAGATCACACTAGCGATTGAGGAGGAAATCACATACAATCCGGAGGGCGATGAACCAACCAAGAAGATCAACAGGCTACAGAAACATGTCCAGAATATTGGGGCTAAGCTGCCAGAGGCAGGCTATGTGACCAATATGGGCGTCATATTTCCCCATAAGGATCTGAGAGATCACAATGGCATTATTCGACGAGGGCAGCCGGCGTTCCCCAATTACGAGGTCACGTCTTTCACAACCTCCTCAACACTCTATAAGATTGAATTTTTTCTGAGCATTAAGGTATGCAGGCTCACGATATGCCGGAACATATTGGATATAATTGGAGGGGCAATGCTGACATCAGTCCCACAGGCGCATATGACTTCCGCTCGCGATATCACCCTGCGGCAACCCATCGTAATATGTCCAATCGACCACCAAGCATGTAAGGAGGAGATGGATGCGATTGAGCAGGCAGCAAAAGACGCCTCTGCCGTGGACCAGACAAACCCGATGTTACCAGCGAGTAGCATCGTGCTAGCTAATGACCCCAATGCCCTGGCGACTCTTGGACTGTGTCTCGTCGGAGGCGAGAAGAAGATACTAATCGAATGATATGCAGAGTACAGAGCATTCATCTGAGCAGCGACGCGTATAACATCATCAATGTTGGGATCAAGCTCGAAAACTAGGTGTGAATCTCCATAATGGACGAGTGCTGGGACTTCTAGATTCAAATTGGCTGCGTCTAACTCCCCGGACACAAACGACTTTAAGACACGACTGTCCTCATGATGTCGCGAGCCCCGATGGATTCCAGCATATATAGTGCCATTGGTGGCATTTGGAGGAAGCTGGCAGACTCCTGTCGCTAGTCTCTAGCTGCACAAGATTCAAAGCTTCGATTCTTCGCCAAGGAGTACTTTTCGTGCATAGTGGACCTAGAGGTGTTCACGTATTTTTGTCATGTTGACTTAGATGGCTCGTGAAAATCGAGCTTAGTCACGGACTGGAGTTTTATGGGCACAATGAAACGATACCACTGACCTTGCCCACGGCGTGGGTTAAGGAAACGGGATAGAGGGGTTCACGGCGTTCGTGGAGACGATGATGACCAACGAAGCACTCAGCCCGAGGTACAGGCGTCAAATCGTCGGGGCGTTTCTGGAGGCACCGGTCTTGCAGATTACTGCAAATCACCGAATTTGATATGAGCTTGAATCTCTTGATTCGGCTTTTCTCACGACGCGTATGATGGTGGGCACGGTTTGGCATGTAGTACCCATCATATTTCAAGGTACCTTGATTTTGAAGGAGTTGTTGATTTCGCGTATGACCATGGATGACAAGGAAGTTTGCCCAGATAAATCACCCTTAGCGATTGGGTGGCATGGCAGCGGTATTTGTGTATATGGTGTATAATACGACTCTTTTCGCTTAGTATGGAATGAGCGGGTAAGACTAGAGAAAAAACCATTTAAATCAAGTTCGCAGGTGTTGATTGTTTGCACACCATTTTGAGGTTCAGATAAGGTAAATTAGGTACGTCTTTGACATGATAGCGTTTCGTAGGGAGTCCTCTCCGGGCACTCACATACCTCCGACCAAGTAGAACAGAGACGATCAGGCGAGGCGCAATTTCGTCATTGCCTTTATAGTAGGTGCTATACGATTCCATAGATCGAATATGCAGTGGATCTGAACGTGCCGTCGCGCGTGCCTTACATCGTAGTGCGCGAAAATCTCCGAGGATTACCAGAAAGGAAGACAGAGAAGAAATTCGAGGGCGGCTAATGGCGTTACCACACGAGAGAGGTCGAACGACAAAATGACAAAAATTGATAAAAGTAAAGATTGAGAGCTGCAGGATTCGAACCTGCGCGGTTTCCCATCGCGGGTTTACGGTATCGAACCTTGAGAGGTTGATGACCTAAACACGACGCCTTAACCACTCGGCCAAACTCCCTTGGAAAGTCCGGCAACTTATTTAGTGCTATATCACTCAAATGAGGCTAAGCTGGAGCTGCTCGGTGGAAACTCATGAAATGGGCCCAATTCATCCCACTGTCACTGGTAGAACTATGTATAATGCTTTGCGCGGGGCTAGAGGGGCACAAGCTTGGGACAGCTACCGTTCCTGACCATGCAGGTGATAAGATAAGAAGGATAGCTAGAATCTCTACACATCACTGCAGGTGCAGAAGATTGAGCTGCAGCTCTGAAGCAGCACATACACCCACTTCCCTTACACATCTGCCTCAACAGCCTTTTTAGCCTCGATTCGGCGCAAGCACTGTGCAAACTACAATGATATAGTCGAGGTGCCAGCTTCGTGCCGAAGGGACCTACCACAAACAGCACATTAGAAGCGGTAGCCAAGAACACCACCAAACCGCACTCAACCTTCCAAGACGGCAGCTATGTCCCACGATCATGACGCGCCCCCATGGGCCCAGACCTCTCTCCCCGATGTCGCCGGCAACGACGACGACGATGACGCACCGCTAGCGCCCCCATCTGGCGGCCTTCTCGACAGCACCGACATGGACGCCGACCCGGACGACGCCGCGCAGGACTTCCGCCTCTTCGCGGCCTCCCTCCCGGGCGCGAACAAGAGCGGCGGCGGCGCCAAAGGGGGGCGCAAGGCCACGAAGGCGCAGGCGTCGGGCAAGGCGCTGCGGCGCGGTGAGAAGGACTTCGAGACGCACGGCACGCGGGCGCAGGTCAATGTGCTGGAGGAGAGCCGCGGGGCCATGCACGAGGTGCTGCGGTACACGCGGACGCATCGGCCCAAGGACGTGCTGAGGGGATGGTACTTCCCGGAGCTGTGGAGCAACCTGCGGGAGGAGGATGAGAGGGAGGAGAGTAAGAGGACGGGGATGTTTGGGCGCGAGAGGGTCGTGGGGCTGGAGCAGGATAAGGGGTTGTTGGTCACGCAGCTGGGGAGGGCGATGACGGGCGCGGGTGTCGAGAAGGATGTGCCGGGTGCGCTGAGGACGTGGTTGTTGCCGGAGGAGGCGCTGTACTTGGTCGAGCGTGGGAGTATGGATTTATGGTGGCCAGCGAGGGGGGCTGAGGATGTGTTTCCAGTGCCGGATGGTAATAAAAAGGGTGATGGCACAGAAGACGAGAAGCAGCGTAAGGAGTCCGAGGACTATGAGCTTGGTGTGCCGTTGAGCTTGCAAGCAGCGTACGCTTTATTCATCGGAAAAGATGGGGAAAGGGGGAAGATCAGTCTTGAGAAGTACCAGGTCTATTCCCATCTTCGGCGGACGGGATACAAAGTCCACAGAGCCGTGCCCATGTCGGCGGTGGAATCCGCATCCTCGTCACTGATCAAGGCGCCCCATCAGTCACTTTGGCAATGGTTGCTCTCATTCTTGCACAAGGATAGCTCGTCTGCCCATACTCCGCCGATCATCACCCGACCCTTCGGACCCCTCGTCCAGCCAGGCCTCTACCGCTCCTACGTCCCCGTCTTCGACCAACTCTACCTGATCCAACGTCACAAGCCCACACCTAAACATGATACTCCTCCTCACTCCTCGCCTGAAGATCCTTTTCGCATTTTCTTCCATGCCTGGTCAAGCGCCTCCGTCTTTCCCAAGACCAAACCCATCGCTCCCGACTTCCGCATCGCCGTCGTCGACGCTCGCACCTCCTCTGTCCCCACGCTAGAGCAGTTGTCCGCGCTACTCGAGAGCACGCCGTTCGACCCGCCTGAGACTAAGGAAGGTCATAGCAGCGATGGGTTCATGTATAAGCGGCTCAAGCACGGCTGGCGTAACGCACTCGTCGCGGTCGTGGATGGCGGTCTGATCTCATATCTGAGGTTGGGCGAGATGGCCTTTGGCGAGGAAAGGCTGTTTGAGAGGACGGGGAGGGGTGGGAGGAAAGGGGGTAACAGAGGCCGGACGAGAGGGAGAGGAGGCAGAGGACGAGGACGTGGAGGATGATGTGTGTGTAGGATACCATGCTGCTCGCACAGCTTATTCTCTGATGATGCACTGACCCTGAGTGACGCGATGAAGCTGATACAGTGAGTGGCCTCGGAATATGCTACTCGATGAGGCCCTCGTGGCATCATAGGACATCCTGCTTTGTACCTACGCGGCGCTATACACCTCACAAAATGTCCCCTGAGACAGTGTGTTTCCCTTAGAGGGGCTGCAAGCAACCAGACCACTTGGTTCAGGAATGAAGGTACTTTAAGACGCAACACCGAGTTTGATCCCTCGTAGGAGGTATCCCGACCCAAGGCGTAAGGAGTGCTACAGGCTCTGTCACCACGACGCAGACAGCATGCCGATCCGAAAACATGGGTGCTGGGGCTGCCCTATATAGAGTTGATAGTCTGCCTCGCGGCACGATATAATATGTAGTCTATCAAAGCAGGGAAGGTCGCCCATCTATATACAGCTCGCGAAATCACCTTGAATAACCACGCAAATTATGTCAAAAACACTGCGGGCGGACAATTCAAAAGCTTTTCGGCTTCGATAGGAAACACGGTACTGGGAAAATTTCAGATTGACAACAGTTATTCGGGGTTGTGAAGATCTGGCATCAACGAATCAAGTCAAGCCCCAACATGACTTGAGAATTCAAAGGTCCATGAATATGTGAGCGTGTGAGCGCTCCCGGTGCTCCTACTCATTCGGCCTCCGGGACCAATATGAACATGGAAAATGGAGCATCAATTCCATGCCCAGGATCTCTGAGATGCATTCTAGGTCATACGCTCGTCTCCGTATTCCATCCGCGGATAATGCGCTGACACTGCATATGTCCACTCTCTTCGTGTATCGAATAGATGCAACCGATCCAAGTGACCTTGTCAGATGACTTCGCCATTGCTGGAACAGTCTGTTGCTACAACACTCAAGAGGTAGCATATGGCCACGAGACAGCCCCGTGCTTCTACGCCAGAGACTCCACGTGTTGCCTCTTAAGCCACAAGCCTAGATGCAGTGCCTCGAAAGGAGATATCCGTTCATAGTTAAGTTGGATTCTCAAACCCTGCCCAAATGATGTCGAGCAGTAAAATGCTGTTGAACCCTTTGTTATGCTTTTCTCGTGTCGAACTCCAAGCATTGGGGACGAAGCGGCTTGAGAATCCACAATGAGGCAAGAAACCCGTATCTCAGCTATATGTTGCTAGATAATTGACAATCATAACTTCAGGGCGTTGATGCTTATTGACGTCTTGAGCCGTTGTATCAGGACTAGTCACAGGGAGGTCTGCAGTAGGGCGTAGACCGTTCACTTCGAGACCAGTAAGCAACGTACAAACTGACTGTACGGTAAGAAGACTCAGGCGCGGCTGTGAGGCATTCACAATATAAAATACACTTGGGGGTACCGAGCTGGTTAATTCCTTACTACATTGTTCACTTGATGTGTTGCACCGTGTGCTGTTTCTCTGGCGGGGGGCATCCTTCGTAACCATGCAGCGCTGGGCTTATGCCCTTGCGATGGAAGTATCAATGCTGAACGGCACCTGCGGTTACCTTGTCCCAAGTTGCTCCTGGCGGTGGTACAGTCAATAGTCTCGGGACTCTGCACATCATCAATCGTGTCTGATCAGTATTTCGATTGATCACGCATCCAATACCTCATCATGGGAACGCGAGCCTTCAGTCGGTTTTGGACGAGTCTCGTAACCTCGTCAGACTACATGCAAGACAAGTTGCCTAAACGATTTCGACATAGGTACTCGACTGAGGTAGTCAAAGCAATGTCAAACACCAATGCTGAAGTTCGATACATTCCGGCACCCGCAGAAGACGTACTGCACTTGTACTGCACTTGGTGTCGTACAGCGGATGGTGAAAACGCCTGACAAGGGCACGAGATGCGAGAGTGGAGCCACTGTCTTGTTGCAGCCTGTTGCAGGCTCACGAGCTGTGATCATGTACCTTCGATATCCAAGCCACTAGGGCTCAGAATGGCTAGGCCGTCGGTGCTCTTGGCAGTGGGCCCGATAATGTGCTTGCCCTGGTCAGTGCCCTGGTACGAGCAGCTAATCGTTTCTTCTTAGGAGTCAGATCTTCGCCGTGAATTAATCAACTAACCAACCGAGAGAGACAGGCTCACCTGGGCTACCGCATCGCAAAATGCGCCTGTGTCGTGATAACTTGGGCCATGTCGATAATTGTCTGATTCTTAACCCCCTGTTATCGGTGCGAAATAAGTGCAGCTGATTTTCGACATTGCGTAACAATCATGACTGTCGGAACACAGCACAATGCCCACCGAGCATCAGGCGAAAAGGGAAGAAGACTCTTAGGCGGTTTAGTTTCGCCCCAGTGCCTATGTGTTTCGCCGATTCAGCCTGGCAGGAACCACCAATCAAGGGAGCAAAGGGACAATAAAATGGCGTAATATTGCTTTACTTGAGAGTACGACGCGAGCTAGTCCGAAGCAACACTTATCAGAAACGGATGATGCGCGCATCGGCAGACTCCTGTGGACTACACGTAGGTAGAAGAGGAGTCATCAGACCTGCAGCCTAATTCACTAGATACAACTGGTTGACTGGGTTGAACTTGCGTTCGTAGCCTCCCATGCCCGGAATGGTGCATCAATCAGCTGCATGGCATAATTATCTGGAGACCCCCTATCGATGAATTTGAAACTTGTATTAAGCACAGAGACATTGTGCAATTGGAAGAGGATTACCTGACCGCAGCTGGGCGAGACGCGAGTCGACGCAGTTGGATGTTGTCGAAGTGAGTACTTGAGGGCTAGGGGAAGTTGAACGACGCAAACACAATTATCCAGATCTACCAAACACTCTGCAGTCACCAGGTATTTCTCAACTCCCAGCTCACACCAGCTGTGCTATCAATGACCACAATACTCCAATGAGAAGGACTGGAGACGTGCTGGGGTTTCTTATTAGTCACCGGTGACTTATGGCAAACTCTGTTAGCGACACTTAATTTTGTCTCCACCCAACTGCAA